GCGTGCCACCTTCATATTTCTCAACAATCTCTTTTTTCAGTTCCGTTGTGATTCTAGTCATTTTTTTATTTTTCTGTTGCCCTTTTGCAATTCATGATTAATAAAAATAATAAAATGTTACTTACAAATTAAAATCAGAAGAAATTTAACAAAGTTATAAACCGTAGCACCGCGAACGTCTAGTCTAGTGTAGTACACCGATAGTGTTACTTGTTCATAGATGGCACGTGTAATTAAGTCATATACCAAACAAAAGTCGTATACCGAGCAAAATTTGTTTCGTCCAAACAGGACGTATTCCAAATTGGACGTATTCTAAAGCAGACGTATACCGAGGTTCCACTGTAGTTACTTGAATTTATCTCAGGAATTTTTTTTTGGTTTCTTTAAATATTGTTTTTTCATTTTGTTAGTTTTAATGCAAACTGAATTGTCATCTTTTTTCAGATCTTAACACGAGTCTGAACTGATCAGTAACTTATAATAAAACTAAAGCACAGGTTTAATAACTGTTAGGAAAATAAACTTATTTCAAATGAAAAATGACTAGAAATTTCAATATTTCATTCATAGCTATGACATTTGCAACATTCACATATTTAGTCATTATTATTAATTAATGCTGGTATAGATATTAAATGCTTATTATACATCATGATAAGCATTTTATATTAAATACAGATTATGATATATTATATATATATGTGACCTTTTAAGATGTTTAGCATTCTGTAACTTTATGTTTTTCTAATTATTTGAAATAATAGAGTTGACTGCATTATAGATGATTTTTAATCTAATTAAATCTAGAAATAAGACTAGTGTATACTTTGTGAGAACAGGAAACAGAAGCAAACAGAAAAGATTAAATAGGTTTAATACATAACACTTTGCATATTACTAATGACATCTATTGGTTAGCAAGAAAAGTTGACAGAAGTTTTATGTTTCTCTCCATTGGTAGTCCACAGTTCTTAGTGTTTTCAACATGGCAACTGATAAAATTGAAATGATTAGAATTAGACTACAAATATAGAGAACTTATATATAAATGATATATAAGAACAGATATATAAGATATACAAATGATGAATTGTAATTCATCATTTGTATATTTTAAATTAATCATTCAATTAGATAGAAGCAATTAGATAATTTAAAACATCAATAATTTATTAGTTTTAACAACTAAGTTAATTTAAAACTAAGTTCAATAAATTTGTAATTATAATATGCATTATGCAAAAATTATAAAAATATATTATTTATAAAATTTTTTGTTCTCTAGGGAAGTCTTGTCAAAGCAATAAAAGAAGGAGAATGGATTCTTTTAGATGAAATTAATCTTGCTGAAGCTGAAACCTTGGAATGTCTTGGAGGTCTTTTAGAAAGTGCTTCCAGTTCAATTACTTTAACTGAAAGAGGGTAATTATTAACGTTAATTATACTTAATGAAAAATTGAGAGATTAGCAATTAACTAAAATTCAAACAATACATATTTATAAATAAATTTAAATACAACTCATTTAAGAAAACATATTTAAAATCAGATTTATAAATAATAAAATATCTTTATTGTACAACAGTAAATTTTGAGCAAAAAATAAATATTTTTAACCTGTGAAATGTGTTCTTCAGGTTACAAGAATTGATGATAGAACAAAAATACATAAATTAAAACATATCCCAAAACAATAAAAGAAAATTATAATTGGATGTTTCACAATTTAATAAAATTATGCGAAAAACTTAAGCATTTCTTCTAATGATTTATGATTGAAGATTTTACATAAAACTTTGTGAAATTTTTAAACAAAAATTTTAAATGTTATTGCACTTATAGAACTTCATATTAAAATATGAGATACATCTTTAATTATGTTAAATTCATTTTTTTTATTTATAATGTGTTTTTGTTTGAATATGTTTGATTGTTGTAATTTGAAGAAGGCATATACAGTAAGCGTAAATTGTTTCTTTTTCTCAAAATTTATTGCTAGAAGATAAATATATTCTGCTATTTGATTTGTTTTATTGTTTTAATTTTTGTTTATTAAATTTATAGTAAAAGACACTCAAATAGATTATATTGTCAATGAAAAATTATTTTGAAATGATTATAAATTAAATGAATAAGAATATTTAAAAACATCCTTTTCAGTTACATGAATAACATTTTATAATTAAAAATAAAGAATGAACAAGGTAAAGTTGAGACACTGAAAATTTTCCACAAATAAAAACTTAACAAGAAGTACAAAATTAAATTTATTTATTTTAAGGTGACACATTATTGTAATATCAAAATGGTTTACAATCTCCTTAAATGACTACCCTGCTGAATGGACTTTAAGACAAACACTAATCAAAAGCTTATGTACAAGCTTGTTGGTTATTTTATATGATGCCCAAATCCATTTACTTCAAAAACTTTTTTCATTTTGAACAACTTTTCCAGTTTTTTTTTTCAAAATTTCTTTAATGATTGACCAATACTGTTTGATTTGTTGCAGTACTGTGTTCTTTATTACTTGAGTAAATTGTTTTCTTGCTCTTTTCATTATGAACTGTGTTGTTCATCAATGTACCAAATTGGTCTTTTTGATTATCTATAAAGTTTACAGACAATTTTCTCTTTTTTTTTAAAAATAAATATAATTATAATATATATAGATACAGTAGAGCATCGATTATCCGAAAGCCAATCATCCGAAACGTCAATTATTCGAAAGAATTCCAGTTGGCAAATTTAAATTTTTGCCAGTGCTGTGGCGCTTCAATCTTTGGCTATGTCTTGGGCTACTCAAATATTTTACGTTTTTGATACTAAATTAACATCTGAAGTATAATTTTTTATTGTTTTTATATTTTTCAATATATTTATTTTGTTTGTACAAAATAAAAAAA